CAAGCTGCTATTGCTATTTCACACAATCCAGTATTTCATGGAAAGACCAAACATTTTAATGTGAAGCTGTATTTTTTGAGAGAAGTGCAAAAGAATGGTCAAGTGAATCTGGTGTATTGTAAAACAGAAGAGCAAGTGGCTGATATATTTACAAAAGCTCTTCCAGCAAGCAGATTTGAGTTCTTGAGAACCAAACTTGGGATTTACAGCTCTTGATGCAAGGAGGAGTGTTGAATTATGCCTCATGAGCTGTTAGTTTGACGCTGAGTTGGCATGATGACTAAGCTGCTGATGTGTCCTTTAAATTGCAGAGAATAACTTAGATATTTTCTGGATATTATTAGTTGTAGACTTCCTAGTCTTAAGATTTTTCAGTTGTGATTTCCCTAGTCTTTAGGCATGAAGAAGTTGGTGGATTAGTTCCATCATATTAGGAAGTTTCAGTTTCAGTTTTTTACTGCTATTCAGTTAGGATTTCTGGTGTATTTAAGCAGCTTCTTTCAGCTTAATAAACTATATCTTCTTTTCCTCTTTAAGTCTGTTGTTTTCTATTTGAATAACACCTTCAATGTTCGCTTTAAAAGAAATATTTGTAATTATCTTTAAATTGACTTCATAATGTAAATCGTAAGTAATGATGCAAAGAGGTTTATGGCTAGCATAGATTTTATTAAAGTAAAAAAGGAAACTTTACAATATACCCCTTAGAAAACAACTTCAGACAGCTCACTACCAGACATGAGACAACGACAAATCAAGTAACATAACTTCATTAGTTTCTTATTAATGCATAAATAAAATCCCTTCGGATTAACGGAAACACCATCAAACAGTTTCAATTGGACTTATGTTGACACTAGTCGCCACAGCTTTCATAGCCTCAAACCTAGGCTCCTTAGCCTGGAATTTGAGACCCGCATACAGCTTCATGTAGTCTTCAAACACAAATTTGGGATACTTCAACTTGTTCTCTTCTTCTGCCTTTTCAACCAACTCTGGTGCTGGGAATATCACAGCATCACTTCCTGGATTATAAAACGAAGCAATTGACATTCTAGTGCCATCTTGTTGAGCAATAACTCTGTGCTCAATACTCTTGTACTTTCCATTCGTTATGACCTTCAACCAATGAAAAAAACTAGGATTAGTAACATAGAAAGTTTACCAGATTACCTGCTACAACATGTTATAAAATACAGACCTCGAGCTGGTCGCCAAGGTTGATGACAATTGAGTGTTTCATAGGTGGGACATCAATCCATTCACCATCTTTCAGTAACTGAAGACCACTGACTTTGTCATCTTGGAAAAGCAGGATTAGGCCACCAGCATCAGTGTGAGCGCGTAGGCCTTTGATCAGTTCTGGCTTGGGGCAAGGTGGATAGTTGCTAACTTTGGTACCAAAAGTTGGACCCTTTGAGCCATAAAATGCTTTCTTCAAATAACCTTGCTCGAGCCCGAGGTTTTCACACAGCAAATCAAGAAGATCTTCAGCTAGTTTCTCTAGCTTCAACGCGAAATCCTTCATGACGTTTCTGTTATGAGTAGTTCAATGTTAGTAAAATTAAGCAGAGCCATACAAAAAACTTGATACCTAAGGCTAATAGGCTAAATTCTTTGAGTTGGATATTTGGAACAGTAATTAGCACTGTCATTTTAGTTATGGTCCTACGTCAGGTTAAAAAGGATGCAGGTTGAAGTGATACAAATCCCAGATAATTGGACCAATCTAGCACAGTTTCTTTACATGTCAAAAATACAAAAAATAGTGAAAAGGGATGTTAAAAAAGGATAAAAATTGGATTATTTTGAACCTGTATTTATCCTCTAAGTCTGGAACTTCATACACAGTGGAAACAGGGAGGTGTTTCAAGTAAAAAGTGCTTTCCCAATCAAGATCATCAATCTCAGTTTGGACAGCCTCAAGACCTTTACTTGCCACCATTTCTTTGAACCTTTGCTCCATGCATTTCTTGTAATGCTCCTTAGTAAGCTTCTCAACTGTGTCCAGCACTTCATGGGAAATCCCATGATTCACAAGCTTCATATATAACAACACACAAATATATAAGTTATTATTATGGCCGTAAAATACCAAAAGATATAATTTGGTCATGGTGGGGCGGTGACTATGATTTATTTGGTCGTATTTGACGTCCAGGAAAAATTTTAGGCGATCCGGGTCCGGAAGCCCGGGCCCACGGCGGAAGGCGTGGGCTATA